CAGCAAACTGGAAAGTTGAAGGGGTTCAGATACCAGGTTAAAGGGGTTTTCACTGATTAGGCTTTGGGAAGCCCTTGATATTTATTCCAGTCAGTGACACAGAGACTCATCTCTTGAGGGTCTTTAGGCCAAAAGTTATGAAAAGTCTGGGTCCTCAAAGAATTTTATGCAGAGATGCCTATTTAGGTTCTTCGGAGCTTTTATATCCTAGGTTACTGTTCTGCCCATCATTTTCTTATTTATTTATTTCGGTCTGTGCTATGTTTCATTCACTCAGTATCAGGTGATGTAAAGGCTCATTTAAACACCTAATGAAATTCTTATTATCTGTTTTAATTTTTAATAGAGGGTTGGAGAATTCTTTTTAATGTAAAGCAAAAAAAAATCCTGAATTCCTTTTTCATCACTGTACTTTAATCTCAAGTTATGAGATGGCAGCATCCCATCCCAGCGCCAGTAAGGTTAGAAGCTGAGGGCCCACTTTACCAAGAGGGTTCCCTAACTGGGTTTAACAAGACTCTCAAACAGGATAATCCAAGAAGGAAGATTCTAAGTGAAAGGTCAACACAAATTTCCTAGCCCTTCACGTGCTGCGTCCAGGGAAAAGTAATGCCGGCTTCTTACCATCAGACTTTGCCAGCTTTTTAAAAATGTAAGATAAAGGGTTATTTGTGAGCTGACTAGAAGGCACCGGAAGGCAAGGAGCAGATCCCGGACAGCCTCAGGTTTCACTATTGCAGCTCGGCCCTGGACCAGAGGGGAGCATCAGCCTGACGCAGGGCTGAAGACAAGGGCCCCTGCTTTCCCCAAGCGACCGCGCTGGGCGGCAGGCGGCGCGCCCCAGCACGGAGAGGCGGGTACCCGGGCCGGGCGCGCCGAGCGGCGCGGAGAGCCGGGCTGCAAGGCGGCCGCGGAGCAGCGGCTGTCAGGGAGCGAGGCCAGCATCCTCCCCGGCTTCGGGAAAGAACCTGAGCCTCCGCAACTCCTACGTAGCCGGGTTCCCCAAGGCGAGAGGCTGCTGACCGGAGGCAGAGGCGCGACTGCGCCCGCCAGGTCCCCGAGGGCGATGCCCCCGCAGTCCCCCGGCTGCGGCTGCCTGCCGCGTGGCCACCGACCGCAGGCTGTGGCCTGGG